TTGCAGCACCCGGCGCCTCCGCTGTTCCGCGGCTTCCGCAGCCCCTCCAGCCATTGCGCCGCCGCGGCGGGCTGTGAGGTGCGGGCTGACCCGGGCCTCGGCTTTCTGACAGTTACTCCCTGAAGACCTGGTTGGCGTTCCTTCGCGCGCTACCGGCACGGAGCGGGAGTGGGGCCTCGAGGAGGGCGCGCCGCTGAGAGCTACCTCGTCCCCGCTTTGGGTACCGCGGTCACCCCAGGAGCGCGGGTTGGCGTGGCCCTCGGGCTGTTGGGAATGGAAAGGCGAGAGCGCAGGACGCCGTGGCCGGCAGGTCCAGGAAGGGGCGGACCCTCCTTGCCCTGCCCGCTCTGTGGACTCCCTGGCCTCAGCTTCCTCTTCTGGGCGATGGACCACCTTCCCTTCCCGGTGGGGAGCCGCCATCGCGCGAGCACTTGCGCTCGCTCGCCCTCTGGTGGCCGTCCTGCGCCTCGCAGCTCTCGGCCTCCGCGTCCTGCCGGAGCTAGGCAGGACCGGTCCTCCCGCGAGAGGGCGCCGTAATCTGGGCGCCATCAGCCCAGGTGCGCTGGCGGGTGTGCCTCCCTGGAACCCCGAGAGGCCGGTTGGGGGAGACTGCGGCGGTCGGTGTCGGTCTGTCTCTGTGGTCCACAGAAGACCCAGTAATCTCCGTCACCCACAATTCCCAAACTACCCTAGAAAACAAGCATCCTGGTGGTCAGGCCGTGGAGGGCTCAGGCACCAGAGAATTGCGTGGACTTTGAAATCCAGCCAGGCACACAATCATATATGTAATACACAGAAGAAAAAAGTGGCTTCTTTGCTTGGGGAAAGAAATTACCTTCAATTTACCTCTACTTCTGCCCAGTGAATGGTAGAAGATGAAAGATGAAAATAAAGAAGAAGGGAGAGGACTTGTAACTAAGAGTATTTGCCTCCACTTGTTTCTTTACATCCAGTTCTGAGTTAATGGGCTCCAGGAAATTTCCTGAGCCCAGGCTGAAAAGCATGGGCTTTCTATCCTATTGGGAACAGAGAATTGCCACTATATTTTTGTATACAACATGGAGCTCTTAAGACAAATCCAAGTACAATTCTTGAACTTGAAAGCAAAACAAAACAAAAAAATCAAACCAGATTTCATCTTATACATTGTCACCAGAAAACAAAAAAGTTCAATTTAATTAATTAGTCTCCTTTGCCTTGCTTTTGGGAAGAAGAAATTTTAAGGACTAGCATAAAGTTTGGGAGTTACCCAGGTTTGGAGGCTCAAGAAAGGCTTTATTCAGTAGCCAAAGAATGGTGAGGAGGGAACTCTGTTTACAAATCAGTTTCACAACTCCAGGGAGCTTGAAGGGTTACAGGTATATGACAGGAATAATGAGATGGGGAGGATAGGCTAATAATAAAAGGGAGGAATATTCATGTATTTTTTGAAACTAGGTGGAGAGCATCTGGGAACTTGAGTGCTGCCTTGTAACAGTGGTCTACATTATGCTTTGAATATAGCTCTTGCTGTTCTACCACTGTAACTTTTTTTAAAAAAAAGTTTTTAAAACTTGTATATGGACACAATTCCTTTATTTATTTTTATGTAGTGTTGAGGATAGAATCCAGTGCCTCACATGTGCTAGGTAAGCGCTCTACCACTGAGCTACAACTCCAGCATCAACTGTGATTTATTTTTAAAATGGACATGTTTCCTCTCTTCCTCTCCTGCTCCTCCCTATCTCCTCCCTCCCTAATCTCAGAGTAAACAGGATTACCTTTCTTTCCCATCCTAGGAAGAGTTATCTGTCTTTGAGCATATACCTAACACAGAAATGAAGTAATTCAGGTGTTGGGAATGGCACAGAAATTGCTATCTCCCAAATTAACAAGAAGTGAATTATAACTCTGGACAGAGAACACATGGAATGTAGCCTTTGAATCACCTCTTTAAAAGCCCCCTGTCCCCCTGATGGGCAGAATTATAGCCTCTGGGACCAGACAGTTTCCTGTGTTTCTCCTTCACTCGCAAAAGCCACGTCCTCATTATTGGACTGACATTGGGGACAAGGACTGAGCTTTTGGTAACAATCTCTTTTCATTACTTTCATGGTCTAGTGTTTCAGGTCATGGCAGCTGGAAGGTATCTTTAGCCCTGAAGGATGGGGGTAGAGGACTGAAAGACTTGGCAAGTCTAGGTCAAGTTAGCCTTGTATAATAGTTTTGGACAAAACATCTCTTAAATGCTCATCTCTTATCTGCATGCAGAGTTGAGTAGAATCTGACCCAAAAGTTAAGGCAATGAAGGAGAGAGGCACACTTTGAAGACAGAAATGCCAAGTGTTTTCATCCTGTTCCAATTGCCCATCAGACATGTTAGGCCCAAATGAAGAATCAGTGTGGCCTTCAGATCCCTGAAGCTACTGTTAGCCCACATGTTAGAGATATTACCTACAGCAAAGCTAGTGAAAAGGCTATGTATTATCCAGTTGTGTGACCTCCCAAATTAGGGATTTGAAGTCATTTAAGAACAAGTGAAGGGGCTAGGGTTGTATGTAGCTCAGTGGTAGAATGATTGCCTAGCATGCATGAGGCACTGGGTTCGATCCTCAGCATCACATAAAAATAAACAAAATAAAGGCATTCTGTCCATCTACAACTACCAAAAATAAATAAATAAATAAAAGAACAAGTGAAGGGGTTGGGGATATAGCTCAGTTGGTAGAGTGCTTGCCTTGCATGAATAAGGCCATGGGTTCAATCCCCAGAACCACCAAAAAAAAAAAAAAAAGTGAAGCTAGGCATTTATGGCACACACCTATAATCCTGAAGTAGGACAGAAGAGGCTGGACACCTGAGGAATTTTCAGGAGTCAGGTTTCTTGACTGCAGGGTTCAGAAGTGGCTCCTGCTAGGAATTCTTCCTCTGAACAATAAGTATAGAAATTCTTTGAACTTTGCGGGCAGGCGGCGGGGTGAGTGGGGTGGGGGTGGGGTGAGGGGATGAGTTCATATGACAAACTCATTTCATTCCATCCTCTAGACAGATAGGGATTTCACAAGTTTTTCCTGCAATTCTGGCATTTATAAACAAAGAGAAAGTTACAAATCTGCCTTCTGCAGATTTTTACTGATAGCTGATGTCCTGTGCAAAAAGCTCTCTGATAAGAGGAAATTTCATGCCACAAATATGGTAGGGGGCTTTCTGCTCAATTATAGTAAGGGATCTTTGGGTGGGGGGTCTTTGGCCTGCTTCATTTTCCCCTTTGATAATCGTTATTAATTATTTAAATCATCATCCTCCTCCTCTTGGCTTAAAGCTTTATATAATGTCATAATCTTAGTTGTTGTCTTTTTTTCAACAGCTGCTTCTATAGTAGACCCAATATTTCTAATGTAAAGGGGAGCCAAATATGGGAGCAATTAACAGGTCAAGAGCAGAATACCTACTATGCCAATTAAGCTTTTAAATTCACCAACAGTTGAAAATCATCCTCCAAACAGTAAGGTTGGATACCAAGCTTTAATGTGCTTCAAGATTTGAACTGGCCCATGTGCTAATTTTCTGATATTGATGGCTATGTCTTTAACTGCCTGTTTATTATCTATTTGAAATGTGACAGTCTGAATTGTTGAACTTTTTACTATCCACCCCCCTCCCTTTTTTTTTTAGCCCCCTGATTTGAACTGATGTTTCCGAAGCAGTGGTCCTGAGAAGTGAGTCCCGGTCCTTTGTTCAGTGAGATTTTATACATTGTTTTTGGGATACTCTGTGTGTCACAACATCACACAGCAAATCATTCCACCCCTCAGAAAAATCAGACAACAACTCTTTTTAGCCAGTAGGTAATCTAATGTCATGTGGTTTCGATAGATAGCCACACACATCTGGGTCTGTTATGTGGTTAGGAGATCAAAGGTTGTGGCAGTTTGATTAGTAATAATTTCCAGTACAGTTTGTAAGTGAATAATCCTGTTTAGCATGTAAATAGGAGTTTTATAGCCCCAACTGTCATCTTGTGTCCAGGTAGCAGGACTATAAGTAGCAATAATCCTCTGGGGTGGCCAGTCATCTTCACCCCAAGTTTCTTGACGTCCTAGATTAAGTTTCTAATGGACTCTTTTTTCCTTGGCCCTGTAAGGCCAGATTTGTGGGACCCCAATAGACCTCCAGGAGCTGAATCCGATGCAATCACATTGCAAACTCGAGCCTGGACTCACAACTATTTCCGACGCAGCGGTCCCAAGGAGTGAGTCCCGATTCTTTGTTCAGTGAGATTTTATACATTTTTGGGGGGATACTCTACGTGTCACAATATCACACAGCAAATCATTCCACACCACAGGAAAATCAAACAACTCTTAACATTGATTAGCACATTCACTGGTGGGAACAAGTTGGGAAGAAGTGATTGGTTAGTACAAGAGGGGGATTCGTTTGAACTGATTGGTTTAAGCCCTGAGGGGTGTAAGTGCTAAACTACATGGTTTCCTAACATGTTATGAATTACCGAGAGACTACTGGGGGGGTCATCTGGCATCCCAGGTATTTTCCCTGTGTCATGCTGATTGGTGGTTGTTAGGGGGTTGCTATGGGTCCTCATCTAGTAACTGACACCTGGCGCTGCAGATCTCTTCTGTTATTTGTAGACAAACAACTCAGCAGGGTGGCTATGTACGTAGGAGTGCTCTGTGGGTTTTTCCAAGGACAAGGGTCACCCCCCCCACACACCTACCCTTGGACAGGCTTTGCTCTGAGGTAGATACTGGTTTCTCAAAAATAGAGTCACATCAGTTTCTCACAGACAACCTCTGAGTGACTGAAGCAGAGCTGTTGGCCTTCTGATTCTTGAGGTTCTCCAGAGTTTCCTTCCTCTGGATGGTCACCTTAAGGAGTGCAGCAGGGTCTGGAGTATACTCCTAGTCCATGGCTGTGGGCTTGGGTCTGGTATAATAAATCTAGGGACCTATCTCTGTTACCTTTACTGCAGTTGGGTTGGATAAAATAACAGTGAAAGGGCCCTTCCAAAGAGATTTCAAAGGTTGAATATTCCATTCTTTGACCCAGACTGAATCTCCAAGCTTGAAGGAGTGGTCCTTTGTTCAGTGAGATTTTATACATTGTTTTTGGGATACTCTGTGTGTCACAACATCACACAGCAAATCATTCCACAGCAAATCATTCAAAGTTACTGGCAACCGATTAGTTGAGAGTCTGTAAGGGTTTTCCTAAGGCCTGAAGCTGTTATCTAAATGTTAATTTCCTTAAGTCTCCCTGTAATCCCCTGATTAGTGGGAGAGGCCTCCATACATTAGCTCACAGGGAGAGAATCCTTTCATCTTAATGGAAGTGGATCTAATCTTTAACAGTGCAATAGGGAGGATTTAATCCCAATGTAGGTGAGTTACCTGACACAGTTTACCTAAAGTCCTATCTATCTATCTATCTGATATTTAAACTCTTGGCCAATAATTATATCACCTCTGCCACAAAAGCTGGCCCATTGTCTGAGCCAATGGTTATCGGAATGTCATATCTGGGAATAATTTCCCAGAGGAGCACCCTGGTCACCTCTCTAGCCTTTTTAGTATGGGTTGGAAAGGCTTCCACCCAACTGGAATAAAAACACATGAAAACCAAAAGATATTTATAGCCCCATGAGCGTGGTAGTGCAGTAAGGTCCATTTCAAAGTTCTCAAAAGGTGCTCCTCCTATAGTTTGGATTCCTTGTAGAAGCCTTGTTTCCTGGCGTGGGTTGTTGTGGGCAAGCTTTGCACTGTTTATAGATCACCTGGGAGATGCTTGTGAACTGGGGACAGAGGAATGATGACTCAGAACAGTCTCAAGCGTCATTCAGCCAATGTGTATTCCTCTGTGGAACGGTCTATTTAATAAAGTCAGGGGCTAGAGTCTCAGGGATGGCTATTCAGCCATCAGAAAATCTCCACCATACACTTGGGAGATACCTTCCTTTTTCAGTCTTAAACCAATTACTTTCATGTTAGGAATATTTTGGCTCCTGTTCTGTTAGAGGATCAGGCAGAAGGACAGCATTTAAGCCAGAGACTAAATTTCCTTCCTGTTTCTTGCAGGCAGCTAACCTTGCTTTTCTGTCTTTTCTTTGACAACAGCCCCCTTTTTGGTGGCCCTGGGAATGTATAACTGCAACTTTATTTTTATTTTTTATAGTGCCCATACTACATTTAGAAGATTAAGAATTTTCTGTCCATGTTTTATGCCCTTTTCTCCTGTGTTAATTAGCCCCTTTTCTTTATATAAGGCTCCATGATCATGAGGGGTGGTGAAAGCATACTTCCAGTCTGTATAGATATTTACATAGATTTCTGCTGCCAATTGGAGTGCTCCGGTCAGAGTAATAAATTCTGCCTTTTGTGCTGAAGTTCCCTGAGACAGAGGCTTTGTCTCAATGGTGGAGTCCAAAGTGCATATACCACTGCATATCCAGCAAGATGAACCCCATTCTTTATGAAACTTCTTCCATCTGTGAAGTACTCCACATCAGGGTCCTTGAGGGGCTGGGCTATCAAGTCCAGTTTACTGGAGAACACTTTATGACCTCAATGGAGTTGTGACCAGTTTGCCCAGTCCCAATGGGTAGCAGAGTTGCTGGGTTTAGATTTCAGATGACTTTAATGTGGACATGTGGATTTTCATATAATGTGCCCTGGAATCTGATCATCTTCTCATTAGTCAGCCAATATTGTCCTTTATACTCTAACATGTCAAAATTAAATGAGGAACTCTGATGGCCAATTCTTGTTCCATAACCAGTTTATCAGCTTTCAACACCAGCAGGAAGATGGCTGCAAGGGCCATGGCTGCAAGGGCCTGTAAATAAAGTGGCCAGATTTGGGCTCTAGAGTCCAGCTGTTTCGATAGATAGACCACTGGATGGTGCCATGTCCCCAGCATTTGAGTCCTGACTCCTACAGCTATTCTAAGCCATTCATGGACATACAGAAAGAAGGGCTTTGTGAGGTCAGGGAGTCCTAGTCCAGGTGCACTGGTGAGTGCTTGTTTAATGTCCTCAAAGGCCTTTTGCTGTGCTAGCCCCCACATCAGAGGATCCTGTTCTCCCCCTTTGTGGCTTCATAGAAAGGTTTTTCCAAAACTGAAAAGTTGAGGATCCACATATGAAAGAATCCAGCAGTCCCCAAGAACTCTCTGATCTGACAGTGGGTTGAAGGGACCAGAATTGAGCAGATAACCTGTTTAGTTTTGAAGCACAGTTGTCGCTGCTGCTGTCCCTGAGTCAGATAGAAACCAAGGTACTTGACTTTTTCTTGACAGATCTGAGCTTTCTTCTTTGGAACTTTGTAATCCAGCCTTACATAGGAGAGTGTGAAGCAGCTGTGCCCCTTTCATGCAGTCCTCTCCAGCCAGCAATGGATCATCTACATATTGGAACAACATGCACCCACAATGTCTTACAGGAAAGACTTTTAAGTCAGAGGTGAGGGCTGTCCCAAAGATGGTTGGTGAGTTTTTGAAGATCTGTGGCAGCCTGGTCCAGGTCAATTGACCTTTAGTTAAGGGCATTCTTTCTTCCATTGGCCCTTTAGATGGAAGTAGGCACATCAGTTTAGTCTCAGCTTAGTCCCTGGGTTAGGTGATTCCTTCATTCAGACCTTCTGTTGGCCCTGTATTTAGCTCCAGTTTTGACATTTGTTTTGATCTTGGTGGGGCCACCCCCCCCCCCCCCCCCCCCGGCTTTGGGTGACCTCTGGATTTGCAGTGAGGGAAGCCACAGGAGACCATCTCTTTTTGGCCTGCCTCTCGTTGAGCCTCTTGGTCTCTGTTGATGAAAACTGTGGTGGCCACTTCAATCAGCTCACTGGCATTCTTTTTAGCAAGGTCCAGCAAAATTCTCTAGTTTTTGGAGCTCTTGGTGAATGTCTCTCTGGGCTTGTTTTACTTGCTGGTTATTTGGTGTCTCAGAATCAAAGGGAAGGGAGGGTCACATAGTTATTCATAGCACTGACTGGGGCTTTCATTGGGCTTTTGGAGTATTTATGAAAGCTTGTTCATGTTTAGGGCTCTCCTTTCCCCTTCTTTTAGGCTGCCTTTGAGGGTCTCTTGATATATCTTTATCTTTAGATCTTCATCTTTGTTGGGGTCCCACCCTGCATCTGTGTTGGGGCATTGGCCTTGGCATAGGCCTGGATGTTGCCTTGTGTGTCTGGAGCATGTCCCTTTAGCCACTTTAAAGCTGCTCATGTCACCAGCTGCATTTTTCTGTCAATCCAGCTTGGCTGGTGGGTTTTGATAATGGATTATACCAAATCAATCATTGCCCAGGGCTTCTCTTTGTAGAAGGGAGTATGAGTTTTCAGTTCAAGAGATCAATGGTGGTGAAAGGCTGGCATACAAAACTACATTTTTTCCCCTCAGATGTTTCCTTCCTGGTCATCATAGGCAGGGCCCCTTTCTCTCATAGGGGAATCAGGAGAACTCTCATCTGGGTTGTGGTCTTGGGACAAGTTTTCTGGCTTGGTCTTGGAGGGTGGAGGACTGTCTGGCTCTGGGGAAGACTTTGGCACTGAGAGCATTGAGGAGGAAGGAGTAGCCAGTGTCAAGGGGTCACCATTTGTTTCCTCTGGGGACAAGGAGGCTGAGGGGACAGTTTGCTGTCTCCACCTGTTTCCTTTGTCAGGTTTTCTCTGTTTAGTTTCCATTAATTGAGTCTTAGAGGCTACTATAGTCTTGGATTATCCTTCCAGACAGGCTCTCAACCAAGGAGGCTATTTCTATACTCTCTTTCCAACAATCAGTATTAGAAAATTGGTCTAGAGGCCTAGGGGTTCTGACAGTTTAAAAGGTCCTCACCAAGGACATTTTTGTCTAAAGGTCCTTTTGTTGGCCTTCCACCTCAAGACTGGCCATTCTAATTTGCAAAGTATATAACCTTTGTGGAGTGAGCTTTAGCCCACAGTTAACTTTAAAATCTCCCTTAGCACTTTGTGGAGTGAATTTCACATAGTTGCTATTAAAACCTTAAAGTTTTATAACATACATTTCAAAAGACTCAGTTTCCTTTGTGTGCCTCTCATGTTCTACCCTGCATTGGTATTGCACACTTAGGACAGGACTCACTTTGTCTCTAGCTATTTCCCTTGTGGGGACTTAGGGTCCTCTTAGCCTTGCAGGTTGGTATCAACCCTTGATCTGGAGCTTCCACCTAGATGTTGGTTGGTGGACTTCTGCCACATTGTATGAGGCATCACAGAATCGTGGACTAGGAATCCGGATTTGCTTTGGCCCTTGTGTTGGGTGGGAACCTTTCCCATGGGAACCCTTCCCTCTGTCTCATTCACACACTTTTACACAGACATAGTCAGAGCAAAATTTCTATACCATCCAAATCCCAAAAATTTCACTACCAAAAATGGAGTCACTGACCCAGAACTGCTTGGGTGACTCCCTGGGTCCTTTTTGGCTCAGTTTCTATGAAGCTTACTCAGAATCCTCAGAGGTTGATGAAGCCTCTTTCCTACCTACTTAGGCCTCTATGGGGAAGACAAGTGGTGCTACCACCTTTTGTCTAAAAGGACACTTTTGTCTAAAGATCTTTTGATCTACCTCCTCAGTTTAGCGGGTGCTCCAAGTTCTCTAGTCCTGGTTCCTGTTCCTTATGGGTGGGTCCCACTGTGCTCCAGGGCAGCAGCTCTGGGGTGACCTGTGAGTCACCTCACCTACAGGCACAGAGTATCCTGTGGTGCACTGAGAAGTGTTGTCCTCCAATGTCCTGGGGAAGCCATATCTGGAGACAAGAGAGGCAGAAAAGCCATCTTTGCCTCCACTGTACCATCTGGGTCACCAAATGAAGTAGGACAGAAGAGGCTGGACACCTGAGGAATTTTCAGGAAGCAAGTTTATTGACTGCAGGATTCAGAGGTAGTTCTCACTTAAGAATTCTTCCTCTGACAATGAGTATAAAAAGTCTTTGAGGCCACTTCCGCTCTCGCTTTCCACCGTGCAATATGGCGGAGGAGCCTGAGTCGGTGTTGCAACTCCCTTCAACTGCTGCTGCCGGCGGTGAAGGACTTACGGATGTCTCCCCAGAAACAGCCACTCCAGAGCCCCCATCTTCTGCTGCAGTCTCGCCGGGGACAGAGGAGCCTTCAGGCGACACCAAGAAAAAAATTGACATCCTACTGAAGGCTGTGGGAGACACCCCTATAATGAAAACAAAGAAGTGGGCTGTAGAGCGAACCCGAACCATCCAAGGACTCATTGACTTCATCAAGAAGTTCCTTAAACTTGTGGCCTCGGAACAGTTGTTTATTTATGTGAATCAGTCCTTTGCTCCTTCCCCAGACCAGGAAGTCGGGACCCTCTATGAGTGTTTTGGCAGTGATGGTAAACTGGTCCTACATTACTGCAAATCTCAGGCCTGGGGATGAGCCACAGAGAAAAACAGCTTGCTACTCAAGATGATGTTTTCACAGAGGAAAAAGCTCCATAAAGTTCTTATGCTGTGACGAGACTTAACAGATATCAACTACTCAGCATGTGTCTACTGTAACTCATATTCATACATAAGAAAACCTCTGTAGAGTGAATAAACTAACAAAAATATGATTTGTGTTAATACACAAGTCTTCATAAAAGATTGACATCACAGTATGCCTGTTACTCCTGCCTATTACTACCATTGTTTCAGATCTGCCTCCAAGATTGAGAAGATTGAAACTACATGAACTTTCATTACCAGTTTTCAAAATGATTGAAATTGTTTACTTATAGAACTAGTACTCTGCTGATTTCTTTCATGGTAAAAATTAATTTACTAATAGGTTTTTCCGTTACTTTTTAACTCATTCAAGGAAACGTCAGGGGTATAAGAGGTTTATGTTTTTTCTGTTGAATTACCTTGTCAAACCAAGTCGCATTGACCTCTTAGCTGAATACCTTACATAGTCCATTAGAGGGCAGTCCAGCTGATAAAAAGGGTTTGGTTAATCCGGTTCTACATCTTTGCCAGGTGAAAGGAAATAAGACTTTTCTTGTTAATTTCTGACCAATATGTAGCCAAGAAAGCAAGTATGTTGACAAACTGGAAGACTTTGAGAAAATAATCACAATTTAATTATGCTTGGAAACAGAAACAATTTTACAAATTCTAGACAAATGAGTTTTATAGGATTTTTTTTTTTTTTTGGTACTATCATTTAAGATTGAGTTCCAGTGTTGTGCTGCTTATTTAAATATCACTTATTTAAACAATGTCCAAAGAACTTGCTGAGTAAACCTAAAATCATTGTGTACTTCATATTATATTCAGATTGAAAGTATTCAAAGAATAATTGTAAAATAGCCTCAAATTTTATGTGTATGTCATGCCTTGACTAAAAGAGTACCATTTAAAAAAAAAAAAAAGTCTTTGAACTTTACACTCAGTGGGGGGAGGGCTAAGACGTTCATATGACAAGCTCATTTCATTTCATCCTCTGGACAGACAGGAATTTCACAAGTTTTTTCCTGCAAACCTGGCATTTATAAACAGAGAGGAAGCTACAAACCACAATGCCTTCTGCAGATTTTTACTGATAGCTGATATCCTGTGCAAAATGCTCTCTGATAAGAAGAGGAATTTACATGCCACAAATATAGCATGTGGGGGGTTCTGCTTAATTATGATAAGGGTCTTCTGGGTGGGGGGGTCTCTGGCCTGCTTCAATCCCAGTGACATGGGAGGCTGAAGCAGGAGGATAACAAGTTTGAAATCAGCTTCAGCAATTTAGTGAGGCCATAAACAACTTAGCAAGACCATGTCTCAAAATAAAAAAATGAAAAAGGGCTGGGAATGTGGCTCAGTGTTTAAATATGCCTAGGTTCAAATCCCTGGTACCAAAACAAAACAAACCCAAGTGAAGCTAGAAAGTTTATTTAGATTTTTGCTAACCTAACAAAGGGGTGGGAGAAAGAAGATGAGAGGATTCAATGAACATAATCAAGTACCTCTATAGGGCCAGTATTTTATTTTATGTTACTAGGGAGTGAATCCCCAGGAGTGCTCAAACACTGAGTCAAATATCCATCCCTCCTTTTATTTTTTATTTGAAGATAAGGCCTCACTAAATTTCTTATATAATTGGAATCATAAGTCTCTTTTAAGTCCTTTATTTATTATTTTAGTACTATGTTTTACCCAGGGGTGTTTTACCTCTGAGCTACATCCCCAACCCTTTTTAAAAAAATTCTTTTATTTTGAGACAGGTTTTTTGTAAATTCAGCAGGCTGGCCTCAATCTTGTGTTCCTCTTGTCATCAGCCTCCTGAGTACCACCATACCTGGCATCTTTTTTTAAATTTTATTTATTTATTTATATGTGGTGCTGAGAATCGAACCCAGTGCCTCACACATGCTAGGCAAGCACTCTACCACTGTACCATAACCCCAGCACCCCCGGCATCTTTTACCTACTATTTAAGTAAGGCCAGGTTTCTGTTATCTTCTGTGTTTTCCAAGGTAGTTCCACGACTTTTATAATTTTATTTTTTCAATTTAGGCAATTCATAGATGCGTGGTTAAACATTTGATTTTTATACTTTTAATCTTTTTATTTTTTGTTTTTATTTTTGCACCCAGGATTGAACCCAGGGGCATTTAACCACTGAACCACATCCCCAGCCCTTTTTATTTTTTATTTAGAGACAAGGTCTCATGAAGATGCTTAAGGCCTCACTAAATTGCTGAGGCTGGCTTTGAACTTGTAATCCTCTTGCCTCAGCCTCCCAAGCCACTAGGATTACAGGTGTGCACTATGGCATCTAGTATACCTTTAATATTTTAACAAAATTTAACAATTTTTAATGATGTTATTAAGTTTAGGACCCAAATCCAAAGAGTAATTATAATTACATACAAATTACTATAATTAAAATTTGATTTTTAAAAAATTTCAAAAGCTGAGCAGAATATTTCTAAAGCATCATAAACAGAACAGTTTTAAGACTTTAATTTTTTTTTTTAAACTGGGGATTGAAGCCAGGGATGACTTAACCTCTGAGCCACATCCCCAGCCCTTTTTATTTATTTTCTTTTATTTTGAGGCAATTAATTTTGTAAAAAATGGTTTATCAATTCCATTTTTCTATAAAACTTATGGGAGAAACTTCCAATCAATACACAACTGTCACAACATGAAAAATGTACTTTATCAAACTTTGAATCTAAGAGCATAAAAATATTTCTTTTAGCATGTCTACAGTAATTGTCTATGTCTTTCCTTGTAATTCTTTTAAAAAATTCCACATATCCCCATTGTTATCTTCTGTTCCAGTTATAAGAAAAGGACTTGGAGGAAGAGATTTGTAACCAACCATGCAAGTAGTTTTCTGCTGTCCCTTCTGTCCAGAGACTTGTAGTTGTGAGGTATCACACTACCCCCAATAATGGAAGCTTTGATAAGAGAATTCAAGTCTTCATCACCACAGATTTCAAGCTGCAAGTGATGTGGAGTGATGCTTTTCTTTGAGATGCTTAGAAGCTTTACTTGCTGGATATTCATATGTACATCACTGTACTTGGCAGCAGTGACATCCATCCTTCTTTGGCTTGTGGTGTGAGTCTCAACTGTCTGTGGATGTGGCCTATAGAAAACTGAAGTCCAGCTCTTTGTGAGCCAGACACTGCCTTGGCCTTGGCCTTGCCACTATCCTTTACAGGTTGTGCCTTGGACTTGGTGTTGAGAGCCACACCTGAATTGGCCCCAGCAAACTTCCAGCTGATTGGCTCCTCTGCGGTGATGCTCATTAGGCTGTTTCCCCGCCCTTTCAGACCGCGGAGCTGCTCATTGGGGACTCTTTTGGCTCTGGCCACGTGACCCAGCCAATCGGTCTCAAGAGCAGGAGGAATGGGGGGTTGAGAGGCTCGCTGGAAGCCGGTGGTGGCAGTTGGGCTCTGAGGGAATTCCTGAAGAGCTAGTGTGGTGTGGCGTGTGTGTGTGTGTGTGTGTGTGTGTGTGTGTGTGTTCTAAAAATAAAGTTTATTTCTGCTTGACAAGTGGCTCATGAATTGTGCCTAGCCAGTCTGTGGCATTTGGTGGCCCGCACGGGGAATGACTGAAGGTAAGTGATAAGGTAAACTGCTTGCCCCTGAGGGCAGAGCAAGAATGGGTAGCCATTTTAAGATTCTTCTTTCATTTTGTTTCGCTTTTGTTTTAAGTTGCCTGTCACTGGAGTTGGGTGAGATGGAAGAAAAACTGCTCACATCTGAGGAAAAACTATTTGCATCTGAGGAACATATAGGGAGAAAGGATGGATGGACATTTCAGGAGAATAGAAAGGCTGATATAATGAATTTTTGTTCCATTTTTGTTTCATTCTGTTTGGTTTTGTTTGGTGTTACCTTGTTGGGTTGTGTTATCTTTATAGTAGAAATATGGGATCAGAAATTAGTAAAAAACAAACCGAAAGAGTGTTAAGTAAATTGTTAGAGGAAGGATGCATCCTAGTAAAATCAAGAGCAGTCAGGGCATATGTTGATAAAATACAAAAATGTAGCCCATGGCTTTTTAAGGAGGAGTTGTTAAATATATCATAATGGAACCATCATGGTGAAGATTTAAAAAGAATAGAAAAGAAAAGCCCAGGGACTCTGTCAGTTGGCACATTGCCATTGTAGACGTTCGTATCTTGTTTGCTTAGTCCAAAGCCTTCAGTTCAGACAAAGGTAGAGGAAGGAGAAGACATATTGATTCAAGTAAAAGAGAAGGTCTCTCAAGTTAGTCAGACAGAGGAAAAGATTCAAGTAAAAGAGAAGGTCTCTTGAGCTAGTCAGAGGAAGAAAGTTTAGAGCAGAAAAAGCCATCAGGGGAAAAGTTACAACAGGAGACTGCTACTAACAACTTTCTATCACCAGAGGGTGTAAGTGTCCAACCAACAGCGCCACCTCTACAGGAGACTGCTACTAACAACTTTCTATCACCAGAGGGTGTAAGTGTCCAACCAACAGCGCCACCTTCATATGCTGGGAGGCCCTCAACCCCCGCAGTTGATAGTTGGGATCCTGAGACAGGATCTCAAATATTAACATGCCCTGTATTTGAGGCAGGAGGGCAGTGAATTCATCATGCTTTAAATTTCAAAAAAGTGAAGCAGCTAAAAGAGGCTGTAACAACCTATGGTCCTCAAGTACCCTTCACTGTAAGCATGGTTGAATCCATTACCAACTTGAACATGATGCCAGCAATTGGGCTAATATGTGTAAAGCTATGCTAAATGGAGGACAATACCTGTTACGGAAGGTTGCCAATGAGGAATTTTGCAAGGAGTTGGCTAGGCGAAATGCAGCAGCTGGTTATCCTCAGAGAAATCTAGATATGTTGTTAGGAAAGGGACCTTATGAGGATCATCAGCAACAAATTGCATATGATCCTGGCGTATACATACAAATTACTGTAGATACGGTTAGGGCATGGAAGACTTTACAAGGACATGGAGGTTTACAAGGTCAATTATCTAAGGTAATACAAGGAGCTAATGAACCTTATGCTGAATTTGTAGATAGGCTTATTCAAACAGCTACCAGAGTTTTTGGGAACACAGAACAAGCAATGCCATTAATAAAACAACTGGCTTATGAGCAAGCAAATTGTTGGTGCAAAGAGGTCATTAGACCATGCAAACATGAAGATTTAAACATATATATTAAATTATGTAGTGACATTAATGAACAAGGGCAAATCTTGGCAGCTGCAGTACAACGGGCTTTAGATGCCAGGCCAAAAACATGCTACAAATGTGAACAAACAGGACATTTTAAAAGGAATTGCCCCATAGAAGGAGGGTTTAACAAAACTAGGTATCAAAGGAGTAGAATACCGTGTATTTGCCCATGATGCTGTAGAGGGAGACATTGGAGAATGCCATTCTGAAACCACCATAGAGGGTACTCTGTTATAAAAAAAGACAAGGACCAGGTGTTTACCCACGATATCATGGAGAAAGGCATCGGGCTCCATTGCCAAAAAATGGACAGGGGGGCCCAATGCTCCAGGGCCCACGACCACAAATATATGGGGCACTGGAGGAACCCAGCAACACCATCAGGGTAGTGCCAAGGACACATTATCCATTAGATCCATCACTAGACAAACCAGAGGAAGCACAGGATTGGACATCTACACCTCCGCCAGAGCAGTACTAACTTCAGAGATGGGAGTTCAAATCATTCCTACAGGGGTAAAAGGGCCTCTTCCCAAAGGAACAGTCGGCTTATTATTGGGACGCAGTTCTTCTACTCTAAAAGGACTTATGATAAGTCCTGGGGCAATTTATCCAGATTATGAAGGTGAAATAAAAATTATAGCCAGTTCTCTAGGGGTATATCAGTAATTTCACCAAGAGATAGAATAGCACA